CATCTATTTGATTGATAGCTTATTTGTGTATGTTGATTGAGAGTGCACGCTTAGTTTTCATGCATGAATATGATGCTAGATTATGAGGGAGTTTCACCTAATAGTTACAATCTTATAATCACAAGTAGTGAAGGTCGCTTGAAAACGATCGCGTTGAATGAATTCTTAGCATAAGTTTCATGCAATTCATAGTAACGAATGCTTCGTCAATGCTTATGTTTTTCATAGAACTTAATGATTCTTGCTTGTTTCTCTACTATGCAATTCATGTAGGGAACTTGTAGGGAATGTTTTGGGTTGTCGTATGCAATCATCCAACTTAATAACTTGTGGAAAAACTGATGGTTAATTAGTGCAATTCACAGTTAACTTGGGGCGTTGAGTTTCATAATTTATCGAAAGACCAACTGAAAATCATTTTGTATGCAAGTGTAACATGTGTGGAGAAGAACCTTCTAGCTAGCATTCATTCCATATTTCATCACATTCATCTTTAAATTTTGCCTTTAAATTACAATCGTTGCATTTAGTTTAATTTCGTCAAAACCTCAATCCCCCTTTACTTTAGTGTCCAATTTAGTTAGAAAGTGTCTTAGTTTGTGTTTATAAGCGTTTGGTATTCTTTGAGTCTTTTGATTTGTTTTAGTGTTTTATTGTTTAGCTTTGCATTCTTTGAGTCTAGTTTAGTGTTTTTAACGTTTGTTTTACGTTTTTGAGTCAGTTTCCAAGTGATTTAGTAATCCCTCCTAATCCCCGGTCTAGAACGATCCCTACTTATTCATATACTACAATTGTCACAAGAGGGTTTTAATTTGTGTGCTAACTTAGTAACGCACCATCGTTCTAATGCATATCCAAAAGGAGTTTTGGAAGATGTTTTGGTGCAGGTTAATCATTTAATCTTTCCGGCTGATTTCTTTGTGCTTGGTATAGAAGATTCGGCCAATTCTCCATCTTTGTCGATCCTCCTTGGAAGACCATTCATGAAAACAGCCCGCACCAAGGTAGATGTGTTCAAGGGGACGTTAACAATGGAATTTGATGGCGAGATTATTGATTTTAACATTTTTGAAGCTATGAAGTATCCTATTGATGATCATTCTTGTTTTTCTATTGAAATAATCGATTCATTGGCGCAGGAATATCTTGATGACCTCAATGAGGATGCCCTTGAAACAACCATTACAAGAGGAATAAGGCTTAAAGACCAAGGTACATAAATCATGCACACTCATGGCAAGAATGAGAGTTCTTTTGCCGTGCCCAATGGTGCAGAAGTGGAGATGGTGGCTGCCCTTGAATCATTGCCACAACATGTGATTCAGGCACCCTCCCTCGAGCTTAAACCATTACCAAATCACAGCATTGGAGGAGGAAAAACTAGTTCGGGTGCTGAAGGAGTACAAAACAGCCATTGGATGGACTTTGGCCGACATTAAGAGGATAAGTCCCACAACATGCATACATCGCATACTTTTAGAGAAAGGGGCCAAACCAACTAAAGAGGCTTAACATCGACTCAACCCTCCAATATGGAAGTTGTGAAGAAGGAGATTATCAAGCTTCTTGAATGTAGAGTGATTTATCCAATTTTGGATAGTCGTTGGGTTCCACCAATCTAAGTTGTTCTAAAGAAATCTGGAGTCACTGTGGTGAAGAATGAAGAGAATGAGCTTGTGCCCACCCGTATACAAACAGGTTGGAGAGTTTGCATCGATTATAGGAAGCTTAACGCCACCATAAGGAAAGATCACTTCACTTTGCCGTTCTTTGACTAAATGCTTGAAAGGTTAACCGATCACTCTTTTTATTATTTTCTTGATGGTTATTCGGGATATAATCAGATTGTTATAGCTCTAGATGATTAAGAAAATACCACTTTTACTGGTCCATTTCGTACTTTTGCTTATCGTCGAATGCCATTTGGTTTATGTAATTGATAGGAGCATATTCATGCGACTTAAATGGCTTGTTCTCGTGCATTTACGTTATGTTTCTCTAGTTATTTTAGTCCTTTATGCTTCTTTTGTGTGTTTTCAGGTTCTAAGGGCTTAAGGAAGAAAAAAGATGCATTTTGGAGCATTTTGGAGCAAAATTGGGCTTGGAATGGATGGCATATGATTGGAGCCAAAATGTTGGACGAATTTGAAGGCCTTGTATTCACTTTGGACATAAAACAAAGGGCCTAGCCCATTCTCTCTTAAACCAAGCCCTTTGCCATGCATTTCCTTCCAATTCCAAAGCCCACAATCAATTCAAAAGCCATGCAAATCCATATTCAACACCCTAAACTACAAGCATGCATCATCTCACCAAGCAATCAAACAAGCCACATGCATGTCACTTTAATCATTCAACCACATTCCCACTTTCCTAGCTAACCCTACATGCATTCTTTATTCACTCTTCATCATTGCACCACAAATCATTTAACCCACATGCATTCATAAATCATCCACACCTTTGTGCCATGCACATTCATAGCTTTCCCAACATAATTCACATACATTCCATTCCATCTCCCACATGCACATTCACCCCTTTCTCCATACCAAAACCGTGCATACACATTTCATTCCATTCATCCATCATTCATCCATCTTCCACCCCCTTTAATCATTTAACCCACATACATTCACAACACACTTCACTTGCAAAACAATAACCATTCACACACCAAAACATCCATGCCGTGCATCCCCTCCACATTTCAGCTTTCCAAATGTAATTTCATCAACACATGCATTCATTATTCATTCACCTTGCATTTCAACCCACATGCACATTTAATCATTCAACCTTGCAGCCACCTTTACACCCCATTCATCCACAAACATGCAACCAACACATTTTCACCAACAAACAAACATCATTGCCGTGCACTTCACCTTGTGAAATTCCAGCATCTTCACATGTATTTCTAGCTTTCCCTTGCATTTCCACCACTCATTCTTCATCATTTCAGCCACCTACATGCATTATTTATTAAACTTTTCATCATTACATCCAGAAAATGAGCAAGAAAGCTTCCCAAACACATGCTTCTTCAACAAACAAATCAGCCCACATGCACCATCCTTTCCTTTGCCGTGGGATCCCTTTGGCCCCCTTGTGAAAATTCCAGCTTTCCACCCACTTTCCTAGTCTTTTATCACATGCATTGCAGCCATATGTTCCCTCCACTACTCCTATAAATACCTTGCATTCTCATCATTCAAGGCATTCCTCATTTTCACAACACAACACTCTTCAAAATCATCCATTCTTCCCCCTTGGCCGTGAGTTTCCCTTCCATTTCTCCTCCATTTCTTCCATTTCCATAAATTCCCCAATCCATTCAACACACCAACAACATCCCTTAAACCTTGTGCTACAACAACGAGGAAGAGAAGAGTGCCTAAACGTTCATACAATTCAAGTTTGAGTTGTTGGAATGTTTAGGTGTTTCTTTGATTTCAAAGTTTCATTTTAATTCTCTTTGTTTTGTATGTATGGAAGAGAAGAGTGCTTAAACGTTCATACAATTCAAGTTTTGAGTTGTTGGAATGTTTAGGTGTTTCTTTGATTTCAAAGTTATGAGGAACTAAACCCCCTTTAGGTAGGGGGTGATTCGAAACTATGTTTATATTTATGAATTGATTAACTTTCGTTGGAATTTCATAAGTTGTGGATTCAATTTGTTTAACCATTTGATTGATAGCTTATTTATGAATGTTTATTAAGAATGTGCGCTTAATTTTCATGCATAAATATGACGCTAGAATATAAGTGAATTTCACCTAATCGTTATGAACTTATATTCACAAGTAGTGGAGGTTGCTTATAAACAATCGTGTTAAACATATTCTTGGCACAAGTTTCATGCTCATCATAGTAACGAATGCCTCGTCAACACTTATAGTTTTCATAATGCTTAATGATCTTTGATTGTATCTTTATTGTGCTGTTCACGTAAAGAACTTTTGGAGAATGTTGTGAATTGCGTTGCGCAAACCCATCTAATTCATTAACTTAAGGAAAACTTGACGGTTAATTTAAGCGGACCTAATTAATCCGGAGTGTTGAGTTTCATAATTTATCGAAAGACCAACTGAGAATTAATTTTGTATGCAAGTATAACATGTGTGGAGAAGAACCCCTTAGCTAGCCTTCATTCCATTCATTCCATCACAATTTCATATTTACATTCCGCTCAGTTTATTAACTTGTTTTGTTATTTCAATTTTCGTCAAATCAAAACTTTTCCTCCCCTTTTACTTTCTTGTTCTTTAGTGCTTTGAATCTGTTTAGTTTGTGTTTTAAAGTATTCTGAATCAAGCCATAATCTTAAATTCGTCCAAAATTAGTTTTGAGTCTTTTGGTTTGTCTTAATGTTTTAACGTTTAGTTTCACATTCTTTGAGTCTAGTTGAGTGTTTTATATTGTTTTTACGTTCTTAAGTCAATTTAGAAGGTTTTAGCAAGCCCTCCTAATCCCCGGTCCAGAACGATCCCTACTTACATCCATACTACAATTATCAAAAAGAGGGTTTAATTTGTGCGCGTATAATTCTCGCATCAAATTTTGGCGCCGTTGCCGGGGATTAGCAACTTTGCTAGTCCCTTTTCTTTATTTTTATTTTCGTTTGTTTTTGTTTTTCGTGCATTCTTATTTCAGATTCTTAGTTTGTTTGTTTTCTTGTTTTTCAGGTACTGTGTATGACTCGTAGCTCTCGGCCTATTATAGAGAACATCTTCGACTTTGACGGTGATTTTGAACGCACTTTGAGGAGAACGAGGAGTCAACAAGAGCCACCACAACCTCCACCACAACCTGGGCTTGAAGAGGACGAAGTAGGTGTAGAAGAAAAGCCCACTGACCAAATTTTTGAAGAAGAACAAGCCATGGCAGTAGATAATAGAACCATCAAGGAGCTTTCGGCCTCGGGTTTGGATAATGCATTGCCTCTTTGTATCCAATACCCCACGGCTGCAGAGGGGACGACTGAGGTGTTTGAACTCAAATCCAGTTTGTTACACCATATTCCGAAGTTCCATGGCTTGTCTATGGAAGACCCCAACAAACACTTGAAGGAGTTCGAGGTGGTTTGTTCGAGCATGACCCCCGTCACTGTGGATGGGAGTATATTGAAGATGAAGGCTTTTCCATTTTCACTTATGGACAAGGCCAAAGATTGGCTCTACGAACTAGCCCCAGGAACGGTGACTTCGTGGGAGAGTATGAAGCGTGCTTTCTTGGAGAAATTCTTCCCTACTTCAAGAGTGATTCTCCTACGGAAGAAAATTAGTGGTATTCAACAGAATTATGGTGAGACATTCCCGGCTTATCATGAGCGCTTCAAGGGCCTTGTAGCTTCATGTCCTCAACATCAAATGAAGGAGGAACTTCTCCTTCAATATTTCTATGAGGGCCTCATTCCTATCGAACGTCAAATGCTTGATGCCTCAGCGGGAGGAGCATTGGTGGACAAAACACCAAGGGATGCCAAGATTCTCATAGCCAACCGAGCACTCAACGCTCAACAATATGAAGGAGTGGGCCAAAGGGAAGCCCCACGGCAACAAAGTGTAAATGAGGTGAGTGCTATTTCTGAAATTCAATCACAACTTGCTAATCTTACTTCTCTTGTTTCTCAGGTTGTGATTGGTCCAAAAGCACAAGAACACCAAGTTTGTGGCGTGTGCTCAATTCAAGGGCATCCATCCGACAAGTGCCCTCAACTAATCGAGAATGGTGGGTGGGAATCTGCCAATGCAATTGGTTTCCAAGGACAAAATCACAACAACCCATACTCGAACACTTACAATGCCGGATGGAGGGACCATCCAAACTTCAAATGGAGGGAGCCACAACAAGCTGCCCAACAAGGAGGATTTAGGCCAAACCCCCCTGGTTTTTATTCCAAGCCGTATGCACCCCAACAATCCCAACAACCTTCGACATCATCTCATTCAGGTACGTCCTTGGAAAGTAATCAAGCTATGCAATTACTAACCTCTATTTCGCAGGGGTTGCAAAATCAAAACAACCGGATAGAAAATAACGAGAAGGAGATGATGGATATGAAGAAACAAATGGGGCAGATTTCTGAGTTCCTTGGACAGATTAGAGATAAAGGAAAGCTTCCTAGCTCAACCACAGTCAATCCAAAGGGAGGATTCGAATCCGCCAAGGCCATCACCCTAAGGAGTGGAAAAGAAGTTGGGACCGAGCCAAACAATTCCAAATCTGCCCAGGAAGTAGATGAAGAGACGACACAACCTAAGGAAGTGTCTAGCTCACCCACGGAAAGAGTGAAAAACCCAATGCCGTAGGCCTCCAATCACCCTAACTCGCCCAAATCAGGTAATTTAAGTTCAAATTCATGTACTTCACGTCCTAATCTGCCCAATGTACCTTTTCCTCGCAGGTTCATGCAAGAAAAAAAGGAAGAAAGCGAGAAGGATATTCTTGAAACGTTCCGGAAAGTGCAAGTGAACATACCGCTTCTCGATGCAATCAAACAGGTTCCAAAGTATGCCAAATTCCTCAAGGACCTATGCAATGCAAAGAGAAGAAGGGCAAACAAAGAGGTAGTTAAGGTAAGCGAGAACGTGTCCGCTGTTTTGCAACGTAAACTACCTACCAAGTGCAAAGACCCCGGTAGTTTCACGATTCCTTGTTTGATTGGACATAATCGTTTTGAACATGCCATGCTTGATTTAGGTGCATCCATAAATGTCATGCCTTATTCCATTTATGCATCAATGAACCTTGGCGAGTTAAAACAAGATGGCGTTATAATTCAATTGGCCGATCGTTCTAACGCTTATCCCAAGGGAGTCCTTGAGGATGTTTTAGTGCAGGTCAATCACCTTATTTTCCCCGCAGATTTCTATGTTTTAGACATGGAGGATTCAAGCCATGCTCCATCATTACCAATCTTGCTAGGCCGTCCCTTCATGAAAACAGCAAGAACAAAGATTGATGTGTATACGGGAACATTGACCATGGAGTTTGATGGGGACATTATTCATTTTAATCTTTCTGAAACCATTAAACATCCAATTGAGGACCATTCTTGTTTTGCTATTGATATTGTTGATTCTTTGGCACAGGTGCATTTGGATCAAATGAACGAAGATGCACTTGAAGTAGCCTTAACCCACGGCATGCAATCTGACCATATTGCCGTACCCCCTTGTGATGAAGTACTTGAAATGGTCGCTGCCCTCGAGTCATTGCCCTTCCACTCTGGTAAGTCTCCAATCTCACTTTTAGATTCAATTTTGACTAACAAGTTACTTCCATCTACTGAGCAGCCACCTACACTTGAGTTAAAGCCATTACCTAGTCACTTGAAGTATGTGTTCTTAGGCCAAGATCAAACGCTACCCGTCATCATTTCAAACTTAATCACGGCTCAAGAAGAAGACAAGTTGATAAGGGTGTTAAAAGAGCACAAATCTGCCATTGGATGGACTTTGGCGGATATCAAAGGCATTAGTCCCACCACGTGCATGCATCGCATCCTTTTGGAGGAGGAAGCCAAGCCATCTCGTGAAGCTCAACGTCGCCTTAATCCACCTATGATGGAAGTAGTGAAAAAGGAGGTTATAAAATTACTTGATTGTGGTGTTATGTATCCTATTTCTGATAGTCGTTGGGTGTCACCTGTCCAGGTTGTTCCAAAGAAGTCTGGTGTCACAGTGGTGAAGAATGAAGAACAAGAGCTTGTCCCCACTCGTGTTGTGACTGGTTGGCGTGTTTGCATTGATTACAGGAAGTTAAATGCCATGACAAGAAAGGATCACTTTCCATTACCATTCCTCGACCAAATGTTGGAAAGGTTAGCCGGTTATGAATTTTATTGCTTTCTTGATGGATATTCCGGATATAACCAGATTGTGATCGCTCCGGAGGACCAAGAGAAGACAACATTTACGTGCCCCTTTGGCACTTTTGCATATAGACGCATGCCATTTGGCTTGTGCAATGCTCCGGCAACGTTTCAACGATGCATGGTGAGTATATTCTCTGATTATGTGGAAAAGATTATTGAGATATTCATGGATGATTTTAGCGTGTTTGGCAATTCATTTGATCATTGCTTGAATAATCTGACTTTAATCTTGAAACGTTGCGTTGAAACGAATCTTGTACTTAATTGGGAAAAATGCCACTTCATGGTTAAGCAAGGTATTGTTCTAGGCCATATCATTTCTGAAAAAGGCATTGAAGTAGATAAATCTAAGGTAGACCTTGTTCGCCACTTACCCTCTCCAACTTCGGTTAGAGAGGTTCGTTCGTTTCTTGGCCACGCAGGTTTTTATAGGCGTTTCATTAAGGATTTCTCCAAGATTGCACAGCCACTATGCTGGTTGCTTCAAAAAGAGGTGGTTTTCGAGTTTGATGAAGCATGCTCCACGGCATTCAAGCACTTGAAGGAAGCTCTCACTTCGGCTCCTATTATCACACCTCCAGATTGGAGCCTTCCATTCGAGTTAATGTGTGATGCGTCGGACTATGCCATTGGTGCTGTTTTGGGACAGCGAAAGAACAAGCAACCCCACGTTATCTATTATGCTTCTAGGACACTAAATGATGCTCAATTAAATTATTCAACCACTGAGAAAGAATTACTTGCTGTGGTTTTTGCATTAGATAAGTTCCGACCTTACTTACTTGGTACTAAAGTTGTTATTTTTACTGATCATGCAGCTCTCAAATATTTTCTCACGAAAAAGGAGGCCAAGCCTAGATTGATTCGATGGATGTTGCTTCTACAAGAGTTTGACATTGAGATTCGGGATAAGAAAGGCGTGGAGAATGTGGTGGCTGACCACCTAAGTCGAATGGTACATGAGGAAGTAGCGCGAATTTCTGAAACCTTTCCCGATGAGCAATTAATGTCTATCCAGGTAAGTGAGCCTTGGTATGCTGATTTGGTTAATTTTCTGGTGTCTAAGCAAGTTCCTAACACCTTAAGCAAGGCTCAACGTGATAAATTAAAAAAGGATGCACGTTTTTATGTTTGGGATGACCCTTATTTGTGGAAAATATGCCCTGATCAGATTGTGCGTCGTTGTGTTCATGAATCTGAATTTAATTCCATTTTGAGTTTTTGCCATACATATGCATGTGGTGGACACTTTGGCACACAACGCACCGCGTTTAAGGTTCTTGAGAGTGGTTTTTATTGGCCTACATTGTTTAGAGATGCTAGGGCTTTTTGCTTAACATGTGATAGATGTCAAAAGACTGGAAGTATAGGCCAAAGACACCAAATGCCGCAAACCCCAATCCTTGTTGTTGAAATCTTTGATGTTTGGGGTATTGATTTTATGGGTCCATTCCCTATGTCTTTTGGTTTTACGTACATTTTACTTGCCGTTGATTATGTGTCAAAGTGGGTGGAAGCTAAAGCCACCCGAACTAACGATTCTAGAGTTGTTGCAGACTTTGTAAAATCTAACATTTTCTCTAGATTTGGGATGCCTCGAGTGCTCATAAGCGATGGTGGGACTCATTTTTGCAACCGCACCATTATAGCATTGCTCAAGAAGTACAACGTGATGCATAAGGTTTCCACACCTTATCACCCCCAAACCAGTGGCCAAGCCGAAGTTTCAAATCGAGAAATCAAGCAAATCCTGGAAAAGACCGTTGGGCCGAATAGAAAAGATTGGAGCTTGCGCTTGGAGGATGCACTATGGGCCTATCGAACGGCGTACAAAACGCCCATTGGTATGTCCCCATTTCGGCTAGTCTATGGCAAGCCGTGCCATCTACCCATAGAGCTTGAGCACAAGGCACATTGGGCGGTCAAGACCTTCAATATGGATGTGGACGCGGCTGGAAACCATAGGAAGCTACAATTGAGCGAGCTTGAAGAGATTAGGCATTGATAGGAGCATATTTAGGTGACTTACTTAGCTTGTTTTCGTGCATCTATGTTGTTAATTCATATTTGTTTTAGTAGTTTAAGCCATTTTCGTGTGTTTTTAGGTTCATATGGCTAAGGAAGCAAAAAGATGCATTTTGGAGCATTTTGGAGCAAAATTGGGCTTGGAATGGATAGCATATGCTCGGAGCAAAAGGAATGGACGAAATTGAAGACCTAAAGACCTTTTGTTTGAACAATATCAAGGAATCCTACCTATTCTAGGTCACAAAACAATGTCCCTTCCAACATTGTTACCCTTGCCGTGTGTCCCTTGGTGTTTCCCTTCCTTGCCATGCAAGGAAGGGCCTTGTTTCCCATTTTAAACCATACACTCACTCACTTATCACTACCATTTACTTATCACTCAACATATCATTCATTTATCACTTAGCATATCATTCATTTATCACTCACTTATCAAACCACTCACTTATCACTACCATTTACTTATCACTCAACATATCATTCATTTATCACTCACCACAAACCATTCACTTATCACTTATCACACCTTTTCTCCAACCTTGCCATGCATCACATGCATTTCCAACACACTCAACCCCTTTAACAACCCCACACCTTGACATTATTCTTTCATCCACCCACCACAAATCCAATCAATGCCGTGGCTCTCCATCACAATTTCAGCTTTCCCTTTACATTTCACATGCATTTCCACCTTGTTCATACTTTCCTATTTCATTATTCATTCACTTTGCATTCTTTATTTCAGCCACATAATCATTCACCCTTGCCTTTCCACAATCCCATTCATCAACACATACATTTCACATGCAATTCCAACACAAACAACAACCCTTGCCGTGTACACCTTATGCATTTTCAGTTTTCTTCTTTGTTGTTGCACTTGCATTTTCAGCCACATATCCACTCACATGCACCCTTTAAACATTCCACCATAAAGCCACATGCAATCTCATTCATCCACCATACATTGCACATGCTTTCACAAGCTTTAACCAACACACAAAACAGCCAACACATGCACCAAAAACTCCTTTGCCGTGGGTTCCCTTTGGCCCCCTTGTGCAATTCCAGCTTGCATATGCTTTCTTAGCTGTTTGTTCATCATTAATTAGCCACTTGCATGCTTAAACAAACAGCCATTCACACCTTCATTCTCCTATAAAAGCCCTTGCATTCTCATCATTCAAGGCATTCCTCATTTCATACAAAAACACACCATTTCCCAAACCCTTGCCGTGCATCTCCTTCCATTTCTGTGCAGTTTTTCTCCTCCATTGCAGCCACTATCCAACCACTTCCCATCCCTCCAAAACACTTCATACCATCACACAACCTATCCTTAAACCTTGTGCTACAACAACGAGGAAGAGAAGAGTGCTTAAACGTTCATACAATTCAAGTTGAGTTGTTGGAATGTTTAGGTGTTTCTTTGATTTCAAAGTTTCATTTTAATTCTCTTTGTTTTGTATGTATGGAAGAGAAGAGTGCTTAAACGTTCATACAATTCAAGTTTTGAGTTGTTGGAATGTTTAGGTGTTTCTTTGATTTCAAGGTTATGAGGAACTAAACCCCCTTTAGGTAGGGGGTGATTCGAAACTATGTTTATATTTGCAATATGAATTGATTAACTTTCGTTGGAATTTCATAAGTTGTGGATTCAATTTGTTTAACCGTTTGATTGATAGCTTATTTATGAATGTTTATTAAGAATGCGCGCTTAATTTTCATGCATAAATATGACGCTAGAATATAAGTGAATTTCACCTAATCGTTATGAACTTATATTCACAAGTAGTGGAGGTTGCTTATAAACAATCGTGTTAAACATATTCTTGGCACGAGTTTCATGCTCATCATAGTAACGAAAGCCTCGTCAACACTTATAGTTTTCATAATGCTTAATGATCTTTGATTGTATCTTTATTGTGCTGTTCACGTAAAGGACTTTTGGAGAATGTTGTGAATTGCGTTGCGCAAGCCCATCCAATTCATTAACTTAAGGAAAACTTGACGGTTAATTTAAGCGGACCTAATTAATCCGGAGTGTTGAGTTTCATAATTTATCGAAAGACCAACTGAGAATCAATCTTGTATGCAAGTATAACATGTGTGGAGAAGAACCCCTTAGCTAGCCTTCATTCCATTCATTCCATCACAATTTCATATTTACATTTCGCTCAGTTTATTAACTTGTTTTGTTATTTCAATTTTCGTCAAATCAAAACTCTTCCCCCCCCCCTTTTCTTTCTGTTCTTTAGTGCTTCGGATCTGTTTAGTTTGTGTTTTAAAGTATTTTGAATCAAGTCATAATCTTAAATTCGTCCAAAATTAGTTTTGAGTCTTTTGGTTTGTCTTAATGTTTTAAATTTTAGTTTTGCATTCTTTGAGTCTAGTTTTGTGTTTTATATTGTTTTTACGTTCTTAAGTCAATTTAGAAGGTTTTAGCAAGCCCTCCTAATCCCCGGTCCAGAACGATTCCTACTTACATCCATACTACAATTGTCAAAAAGAGGGTTTAATTTGTGCGCGTATAATTCTCGCATCAGGCATGAAGCGTATGAGAATGCCCGGATTTACAAGGAGAAGACCAAGGCCGTCCATGACAAGATGATTAGAGGCAAAACTTTCTCAATTGGGCAGAAAGTGTTGTTATTCAATTCTCGTCTTCGATTATTCCCCGGTAAGTTACGTTCAAAGTGGGTTGGCCCTTTTATTGTCACTAATGTTTTCTCTCATGGTGCAGTACAAATCAAAAGTTCAAGGACGCAGCAAGAATTCAAAGTGAATGGGCATCGATTGAAGCCCTATTACGAGACGTTTGAGGAGCATGTCGTGGAGGAGGTACCCCTCCATGCCGTGGAACCTAGTCAAGCTTAAACGGAGGTACCGTCCGGCTGCAAGACGTAAAAGAAAGCGCTACTTGGGAGGCAACCCAATACAGTGAATAAACCTTGTTCATTGATTTCCGAGTGATTGTGAAAAAAAAAAAAAAAAAAAAAAAAAAAAAGCTTGTTCATTAATTTTTGAGAAATTACAATTGTATAAAAACATGGCAGAAAGATGGAGTCTTCACAAAGGTTGTGTACTTGAGGCCCCACTACGTGGCAACACTCTCGGAACAAGAGGCATCGGAACAGGAGGTCTCGGAGCAGAAGGCATTGGAGCAAGAGGCATCGGAGCAGAAGGCATTGGAGCAAGAGGCACCAAAGATAGATCATTCAAGGCCCCAAACCTTGGTGGAACGCTGGATGACCCAGGAAAGAGATGCCTCTGGAAGAAAGCTGCAAGCCGTTGACGGTCATCAAGCTCATCCAGCTTCCTCTTCATGCCTGTTGAATAATTGTTGGCAAGCACGTGCAAACTTCGGTTCTCGTACTTAAGCTGTTTGATCTCCTGCTTAAGACTCTCCACCTCCGCCATCAAGGATTCAACCTGTCGGGAGCGAGCAAGAAGGCGTTGGCCCATGTTGGACACAGAGCCAGTGCACTGAACACTCAGAGCCAGGGATTCTTGAACGGCCAACTCATCGGACCGTCCTGAAAGCAGCTGACTGTCTTTGGGAGTGAGGAGGTTCCGAGCCACTATCGTAGCTGTTGTGGGATCCGTCATCACAGAGTCCTCATCTGTAAGAGGGCCATGGGAAGATAAGAAAGACGGGCACCATACCTTACCCTGATGAGACGCGACCGGATCACTGCTTAGACTCAAATCTAAGCAAAGGTTTGATGGGTTGGATGAGCTAGCCATTGTTCACGAAGTAAAAAGAGAAAGGGTGGACGGAGTAGATTTTCAAACGGGCCGGAGACGATTTCTGGGCAATTTTCAAGTGTGCATGCTAGAGGTGATCAATCACCTCTATTAAAGGAGAGGCGTTCACCAATTTAGAATGAAGAGACACCACTCTTCAGAACCGGAATTTCCGGCGTAAAGATCACCAGCTCGTCAGACGCAATCCCAGCTTTTCAGAAGACGCGTGGAAGGCAAGAAATCAGCTGCACACTTTAGCCGACAAATGTGGGAGACAAAGCCGAAAGCTCCCGGCTTTCCAGAAAGCGTGTGCATATTTGTCGAAAACTCCCGGCTTTGCAGAAAACGCGTGCCACGTGTCAAAAGATCTCAGACAGAGCCGCATCCGTGATGCGAACTAAGTAAGCACACAAATTAAAACCCTCTTGTGACAATTGTAGTAAAGATGCAAGTAGGGATCGTTCTAGACCGGGGATTAGGAGGGATTACTAAATCACTTGGAAACTGACTAAAAAACGTAAAACAAACGTTAAAAACACTAAACTAGACTCAAAGAATGCAAAGCTAAACAATAAAACACTCAAACAAATCAAAAGACTCAAAGAATACAAAACGCTTATAAACACAAACTAAGACACTTTCTAACTAAATTGGACACTAAAGTAAAGGAGGATTGAGGTTTTGACGAAATTAAACTAAATGCAACGATTGTAATTTAAAGGCAGAATGTAAAAATGAATGTGATGAAAATATGGAATGAATGCTAGCTAGAAGGTTCTTCTCCACACATGTCACACTTGCATACACTTTGATTTTCAGTTGGTCTTTCGATAAATTATGAAACTCAACACCCCGAGTTAATTAGGTCCGCTTAAATTAACCGTCAAGTTTTCCTTAAGTTAGTGAATTGGATGGGTTAGCGCAACGCAATTCAAAACATTCTCCAAAAGTCCTTTACGTGAAAAGCACAATAAAGATACAATCAAAGATCATTAAGCATCATGAAAACTATAAGTGTCGACGAGGCATTCGTTACTATGATGAGCATGAAACTAGTGCCAAGAATTCATTTAACGCGATTGTTTATAAGCAACCTCCACTACTTGTGAATATAAGTTCATAACTATTAGGTGAAACTCACTTATATTCTAGCGTCAAATTCATGTATGAACATTAAGCGTGCACTCTCAATAAACATACACAAACAAGTTATCAATCAAACAGTTAAACGAATTGAATCCAACATTCATGAAATTCCAACCAAAAGTAATCAATTCATATTGCAAGCATAAACATGGTTTCGAATCACCCCCTAGCTAACTAGGGGGATTTAGCCTCTCATGTTCACAACAAGAAAAATACAATTGAATTTAAACATAAAGAACAAAGGATGGATTACACCTAGAACGCCCAATGAATCCACTTGAATTTCTGCGTGTCGAAGCTCCTCTTTCCTCTTCTCCTTGCTGCGACAGTGAGGTTAAATGGTGTTTTTAGTTGATTTTCTGGTTTGGGAATGGGTTTAAGGTAGTGTGGTGGTGCGGCAAGGTGGTGGAGTGATGGAGGAGGTGTGGAATGGAGGGAGAATGTGGTGGAAGGCTGCGGCAGGTTATGAAAATCTGTGGAAGTGGCTTGCGGCTGGAATTGAAAAGGCACGGCTTGGTGGGATATTGGAATATGGTGGCTGTTTTGGAATGATGGGAAGGAATTGGTGGCTGCGGCAGATTTAATAAAAATGGGATGAATTAGGTTATGGAATGGAAGGGGCTGGAATCAATATGGGATCCCACGGCAATAATGGGAATTGTGGGATGTTGCGGCAGATTTTTTTTATGGGTGGTTTTTAATTGTTTTAGGTTTTTAATATGGAGGAATAAGGGTGTGAATGGTTTTGGCTGAATAAAATGTTAATGGCTGAATAAAATAAATGCATGAATCAATGGGGGGTGACGGCTTAGAATGAAATTAGGGTGGAATTAATGGGGGGGGCCACGGGCAGAGATGCAAAATGGGTGCAGGTGGCTGCGGATGGATGAATATGGGAGAATTAGGGTGAATATTAGGTGCGGCTAGGTTGTAAAAATGTGTAGGGTTTCAGAAAATTAACCCTAGCTTATTTAAAATTAAATCAAAGGCTTACGAAAATAGGAAATTAAAACATAAATATAAAGGTGCGGCTAGGAAGGGAAATAGGGCTAGGGCCTTGGTTTTGTGTCCTAAAGTGCATACGAGGCCTATAAAGTGGCTAGAAAATACGGACGTTTAAGTTTAGGAAAGGTTACCAAAACAGGAAACTTAGGGTTAACTTTCCTAAAATAGGAAACCTTGTTTGAGTAGGATTCCTCGTTTTGGTAAGAATTCATCGTTGGAGTAGGCTTTTGTCGTTTCTTCAAGTCTTCAACTCATTCGTTCCTCTTTCGCTCCAAAAGACTCCATTTTGCATCTTCTTGCACACTTTGGCCTTATAATCTGAAAATACACAAAAGTGGCCTTAAACACTAAAACAACTAAGTAAACACAACATAAATGCACGAGAACAAGCTAATTAAGTCGCATGAATATGCTCCTATCAATCCGCGCTACTACGTGTCGTTCAGAAAGCGAAGGGCGTCGTTCAGAAATCGAAGGGGCGACTGCTCAGAAATCAAAGAGGCGTCTTCAAAGATCGAAGAGTCGTCACTATTCCAAAAAGCCGGATTTGCGGGATCAAAACGTTTGTTGACAACGGTAAAAGAACAGTACCACCACTTGCTATTGAATTCCCTATACATGTCGACCTTCAATTTTTTTTGGCAAGACAGAACTGAAGAAAATGCCCAACTCTTTCTCACCTCTGAGGGTGCACTCCCAGCAAGGCCTTTCGAGATACTCCATTCTCTCTTCTTCCCCAAAGATGATACCAGATGCCTGGAGTACAGATGATCTAGGAGGAAGCAGCACAACAAATACATGTGCTGATTCATTCATCGCTTCTTCAAAAGCAAAGGTATCTCATATCATCAAGGGCAAAAGCAAAGGTATCTCATATCATGCTCTTTCCCTGTCTTTTCCTTTGTCCTTGATATTATTTGCATGGCAAAGTGAACGAAGCAATCAGCCGGCACTTGGAGTCTATATGGACTCTATTCCCTGGTTGCTTACCTAGCTTTGCTGAGCTATCCTCTAACCCTCTTCATTACGAATTGGAGAGATTGAACAAAGAAACAGATAAGAGGAGGAAGCTCAGACCTTCGGGAGAGACCAAAGGAAGCCTGCTGCCCAGTTCAAGAGTAGCACAAAGGAAAATCAACGATGGGAGCAGCACAGTTCAAGAGTAAGCCTGTGGAATCACAAAGATCCAAGCCTCACTGCAATGATCAAGGAGAAGATGGAACGAACACTCCACAACCAGATTTGCATTTCTAAACTCTTCTCTTTGTTAGATACATTCTGCCATGTTTAGTATGTTTAATTGCTGTTTATATGTTTGTTTGTGTTTAGTGTGGTTTTTAACATTGAGGACAATGTTTGATTTAAGTGTGGGGGAGTTAATTAAAGTGTTTTGATGCAAATTCGTAGGGTTTTATCCACCATAAACTTCAAATGTTGTTTCTTGCTGTTTTTAAGTGTGTTTAGTGTGTTTTGACTTAAAAATTCGAAAATCACATAAAAAGTTGAAAAACATGTTTTGAAAAGCCTAAAAAGAGTGTTTTGAGTCGTTTTTGTGTCGTAGGTCACCTTCCAACACAATGATAAGGATTTGGTTTCTAATTGCATGACTGTTGAAAAGAGTTATAAACATGGAGAAAAGTTTGATTTACTATTGGTATATGCTTGGTCATGGTTATAATGTATGACTTCACATGTAATCATAAAAGAAAGAAAAAAAAGAAAAAAAAAAAAAAAATTTAGTTATGTAACATGCTTGAAGGAAGGAACTCAAACAAACGCTACAACCCTGAGAGACTTGAGCCTATAACGTTCTTTGGAGAGTATAATCTGTGATTTCTTGTTTTCCAAGGTTG